AAAAAAAAAAAAAAAAAAAAAAAAAACAGTATTCGCGTACAACGATTGAAAGGTTTTTTTGATTTTCAGGAACATTGCGTCGATAGAAAAATTGTATAAGATATACTACGGACAGTCGCGAATCGAAAATAAATATTACGGCACGCGCCGTCGTCGCCGCGGGAGGAAAAATGAAAAAAAAAAAAAAAAAAAAAAAAATAAAACCAATATGGGCAACCGAAGGCACCTATAATATACCCGGAACGCGACGGCCAACCAGTTTGCGTCCGAATTTCTTCTGTAGACCGGATTCGGCGGTGGCGGCGGCTGCGCGTCGGCTGCGGCGGTCGCGGTCCGTCTGCCGCTAATAAGACACGGCGGCGCGGCGAGTACGGTATTTTTTTTTTTCATTTTTTTTTTCTCTCTGTCGCTCTCTCTCTCTCTGTCTCTCTCCCGCGCAATAATACAAATAATATTGTTATTATAATGCGCGCGTACGCCTATGTGTTTTCGAAATGTTCGTGGCCACCGAAACACGATAAGCGAACATTCAGTAACCCGCGCGACGGCCGCGATTGTCGCGTATTTCTTGGACGGCGTTTCGCGCGTTCGCCGCGGAAATCCGAATACAACGATTTTCCGATTGTTATCGTCCGCCCGCGGTAAAAAGAAACGGTAACCCGCACCTCCCACCCGCGGGTCCGCCACTCACCTCCCACCCCCACGACCCAGTACCGTTAAAACGCGAATTTATATTTCGTTTTTTTTTTTTTCTCACCGGGCGAAAAACCCCGCGAAATACCCTCGCGGTTTCGGACGAAAATTCCGCCGAGCCGTCACCGCGATTTTCGGGAAAAAGTTTTTTCGGTTCAAATTCGCGTATTCGGTGTGACGGTCGCGTATAACGGGCGGCGGTATAACGTCTGCTCTCCGGAGGCGGCGAGGGCGGAAGGTGGGGTAACCTATACGCGCGCGAGAGACCGAGAGAAAGAGACGCGGCGACGGGACGACGACGACGGCGACAACAACAGCGGCGACTACGACGGCGGCGGCGGCGGCAAGAGAGCGAGAGAGACGGGACGCCGCCGAGAGACTGGGAAAAATAATAATAAATTCCCATGCAGCTCAGGCGCCACACACGTTACTCATTGCGGATTCTGCACCAATATCGTGAGTTATACGGAGGGAATGAAAAAAAATATAATAATAAATGAAAAAAAAAAATCATAATAATAATAAAAAAAAATAATAAAAATATGTATTATTTGTGCGTGTCTGCGCGACGACAATAATACAAAAAGCCGGTAAAGCACTCCGGCAGCAAACGGCAGCGGCCAGCTAACAGCAGTTCGCATTCCGCGCACACGTTTTTCTTCTTCCATAACGTACCTATATTTATACATGTTGTAATGATAATAGCAGTGCATATTACAAGTACGACACAGTCCGAGAGACAAATTGAATTATCATATTAAAATAAAAATCGTGTATACATATACACGCCGATAAAATATACAGGGGGGGGGGGCAAAAATAACAAGTACGTTTTACCCTCCGCGACACTGCGGTAAAAAAAAAAAAATAACAGTAGTTTTTTTCTTTTACCAGTCTTCTCGATACAATTATATAATATTATACACGCGGTGATGTCGGGGTAATGAAAAAAAAATCGACGATATGTATTATTATTTTATTATATTATTTATTTTATTTTATTTTATTGGGAAAAAAAAATAAAAAATATATCGATAAAAAAAAAAAAAAACGGTAGTACAGTATACGTATGTATGTGCGTACGTATTATTATTATAGGAAAAATAAATGCGAATGAATAGTAATAATGGAAAAAAAAAAAAAGGTAAGAAAAAAAATAAATAAAGTAACATGGCGCATGCGTGCCATAGGCGGTTTGGGGGGTGGGCATATGGTGGATTGTCTCTAAACAAGAGTAGTAGAGGAGAAACATATGCGACAGTCCAGACTCCAGTTTGGATTTATAAGGGCTCGGTACAGTCGCACCACCGCAGGTAGTTGCCGTCCGAACGTTTCTCGTCGCCGCGTATTATTATTGCATTAAACATTTTGTTATTTCGTTTAATTATCGCGTTTAATTCGTACATTTTTTTTTTCTCGTTGCCGGTGATTTTTTTTTTTTCACATATAATATAATATTATTTACGACGAGAAAAAAAAAGTCGCACGCGACCGTCGGACCGGATATTTTTTCGTACGAATTGTTAACCGCGTCGAAACCGTTTCGCGTTTTTTTTATTTTTTAATCGCAAAACCGTATACTTACGTATTATTATTATTATTATATTATACCGCGTGTGCCGTACGAACCGTAACATTTTTTACCTTATGGTCGCCGTCTTCGACTACCTATACGATAGCAAAAGCAGCAGCAACAGTGTCGTGTTCGACGAAATCGAGTGAGTAGTTATAAGCCCACCCGTCTCCTATATACGTTAATAATATTCAGATATTCGTATTCTCGATCGATCGATTTCGTTTTACTTTTTTATTGAAAAAAAAACGTTATTTTGCTCGTCGAGTGCGCTGTTTTATAACGTTATCAATTACTATTATTTAGGTACGTAGGCCGGCGCGAGACGATATTAACGGTTTATCTTTCCCGTCACACGGTGTCACCGTACGTTTGCCGATACTCGATGGATATCTCGATTTTTTTTTCGATCGGCGGTTCGAGTTATTTTACAGTATAAAATAATAAACGCACCCCGGAAGTTAAAATCCGTTTATTATTGTTTTTTTTTTTTTTTTTTTTAACAAATGCAACTTGTACCGGACCTGGACGAATTTTATTTTTTTGCAGATTTTATAATAATTATTGGGTATAACTGTTATTTTTTTTTTCTCAATTGTAATACAGGTTGGAGGCCAGCAATAATGATACAATTGTTACGAATTTTCCACGGACTCTTCGCGGAGTTTTCCATTCGGATGACCCTAAATTGCCGGGCGTGCTCAAGTGAACCGCCGAAATTTCGTGTTCGAGCCGCCTCCTCTTTTAGTGACACACGTATATCGTCGGATAGGTATACATCGATTACCCCATCGTCGTCGGATCGTCGAGACCACGCGTTATCGAAGACCGCTTTTTTTTTTATTTCTTCTTTTTTTTTTTTTTTTATTTCTTCTTTTTTTTTTTTTATTAGGCATTGGTCCAAAATATTTGGCGACAAATTCCGCGAGGGGATGCGCGACGACGACGACTGCGGTCGAGACTAAAATACACGTGCATTTTCGTATATTCCGTCGTCTTCCACCAGTCTCTTATAATATGCCGTAGTATACGCATTTGTTTTTCCTTTTTTTTTTTTTTTTTTTTTTCCAATACCGTACAACGAAAATAGATCTCGACCGAGTATACGTTGTGGCCGTACGACGACGATAGATGAGTAATTATAGGTGAACATTGGCTCCGTGACTCCATAATAATAATAATATAATAAATACGGTTCGCGGATATTCACATAGGACAAATTCATTTTTGAGGTGGTAAGACACTCAACTCTCGCATTCCCTCCCTATAATAGGAATTTAAAAAAAAAAAAAAAAACGCGATTTTATATTATTAGATAAATCCCTCTCAATATAATATGTGTACTGTTTCCGTCGTATAATCGTATTTTTCGTAATATATTTCCTACGTATGATGCGTGGGTGGACGACGATTGTCTTTTGTTCGTTTTAATTTTTTGATTTTCTCGTGATATTATGTTATCAGTTGGTTAAAAAAAGGTTTCACTCAAATGTTTAGATCTTCAATACGATTTATAGTGTTTGTGAACAACAAATTTAACAAACAAAAAAAAAAAATAATAATAATAATAGAACAAAAACTTGACATTTATTAAAGAAAATTGCGTAGTTGAAACTTTTTATGAACTGTCAATTAAAGTTCATTGAAAACGATAATGGTTCAATTTTCTACTTGCATTTTTTTTCGTGCTTATTATTTATTTTTGATTTTTGAAAAGTAGTAAAATGAGTATTTAGATTAAACAAATAAAACAGCTATTTATTTTTTTTTGTTGTTGTTTAATTTTATGTTCATGTTCTCCAGAAATCATTTTGAAGATCTGAAAATTTGAGGGAAACCTTTTTTTTTACTCTGCCGAACAAATTATCGCGAGAACAGCAAAAAGCAGAAAAAAATAAAATCCTGATCCGCCCTAATGTATATATCATATATGGTTTTATATAATTAATCCGCGCTTTTGAAGGTTGAATTTTTTTCGTATTGTTATGTCCGTGTTAATAACTTTTATCAAAAAGAATAAAAATAATAATAACGATCACAAACAAATAAAACAATTTTTTTTTTTTTAATAATTATAATTTCGTTTAATAACTAAAAACGAGATATTCTTTGTACATAGTACGAACTTTGGAACTTAGGGGACTGGCAGAAATATTTTTTTATGATCAAGTTATTCATAGCCGGGGAGGGAGCTCCTATTTGCGTCAATATTGCTTTGTAGTCGGTGTAAACAATTAGAGACAATTATGTTATATATTTTCTGACGACGAAAATGTTGTAATATACAAATATGATTGGAGAAATTAACGAGTACTCTACCCCTGCCGTCTATAGGATAATAATATACGAATATTTTCGAAATATATATTTAAAGGCGCTGTATAGGAACCTAAAGTGTTATAATTATCGGTTCTGGCGTGCGATGTTACACACAAATGTATATTAAACAAACCACATCCACTCATTTCTTCCCCCTCAACCAAGAACAAAAACGACCTTATTTTGATCACTGTCGTATACGTATAACAGTAGACCCTGTAGTAAGATGATTTTTTTTTCTTTGCGATTTGTTAAATTATAATATTTCTATATCGATTTAATAACAATAATAAAAACCGGAGGTTTACATCTTTGAGGCCGTTTTCGCTATTACTCTTGTTTACTATAATGCTAGTATACATAATATATAAATGAAATTGGCCAGCCTCCTGTACTTATAATTTGCTAATACTATAAATCCTAGTGAAAAATTCGCATTTTTTTTTTCTGGTAATCATTAAAAAAATTTCGTTTTTATCGTCAGTCATCTCGTACCGTATAATAATGTTGTTAATTCCTAAAAAGAATTTAAAAAAAAAAAATAATAAAAAAATTACTCGTTAATAGAACGTAAAAAAATATATAAATATTTAAACATTATATTATAATATATACAATGGAAATGATGCGAATTCGGCAATATTCACCATGATATATTATTATGAGATACGCTGCGATATTATATCGTACATTTTATGATTTTGTCAGAATTGCAAAATCACGAAAAAAATCTACTTAGAAAAAAAAAATTAAAAAAATAGAAAACGGGAACTAAATCTCCTGGTGTAGGCTTACACGTATGATGTGTCTGTGTGTGTGTGTGTGTGTGTTTGTCTGTGTTTATATGTATGCCATTATTGACTAGTACACTTATTTTTATTATTATTTTTTTATTTTTATCGAAACAGTGGCTTTCCTTTCTATAACTTCCAGATTCTGTTTTTTCCAATAAGATTTTTTTTTAATTTTTTTTTTTTCGTTTTTATATATATATATATATATACATTTTTTTTATGTAAATAAACTTGTTCGTGTCGTCTTTGTCTGTTTCTTATTTCTTTTTACGTGTGTTCGCTCCGTGTAAAATTAGCGACCAGTTGAAATTCGAACCCGTAATATCTAGATGATCTCTCTCTGTGTCTCCACCGTCCGCCGGCCCGATCGTTTCGCTGCTCCCCGTCGCCTGCGCGCACGCGGAAAAGTACACGACGCCCCGCGAGAGGCGCATTGTTCTCGGTGCGCAAAAAAAAAAAAAAACAAAACAAAAATAATAAATAAATAAATACAACCTCCTCTCTCGTGTGTCCGTGTATACTTAGTGCGCTCCTCCTCGTAAAACCACTAGCCGCCGCAGAGGTAGATGGCTAAGTACCTCATCGCCGTATAATATCGCGGGACCGAAGGTGTATATAATATATATTGTATAAAAAAAAATCCGACTATCGGTTTCGTTTGTTTATATTATTACTACGCGTTTCGAATATTATAATATTATAATATATATATATATTAACTTTGGTTTAAATCAATTTTGTTTGGTTTACAACACGAGCAAATTTCATTTCGAAAATACACACGCTCGTAACAAACTGATACACGTATACGCTACACACATACATCTTTAAAATGCATACGCTTATCCGCCCGAAAATAAAGGTGGAAAAAACATAAGACAAAATAACCAAAAAATTAGATATTTACTCAAGTCCTTCTTCCCCGATGGGATCAAATTTATATATTATTACGGACACATTGTTCACGTTTGTTTTTATTAATACGTGTTTTTTTTTTTTTTTGTTTTTCTCTTTGAATTTTCTTCCGTGCGATCTTCAAGACGATGATAGTGCGGTTGTGGCTGTCGGTGTTAATGGCCGAGCTGTTGACTGCACCGTCGGCGGTGGACGCGTCGATTCATTTACTGCAACACGGAACCTTGTCCGGAAAACCATCGCAACTAGAACAAACGATGGACATGATACCTCATAACCAGGAGTGCAACAGAACAGTTACCAAAGCCAAAACAAAGTAAGTCGGATTTACGCACCGAAATAGTATTTTAATTACGGTTCTAGACCTATATAGCATTTGAAACCAATTTTAAAGCATCTAAATAACTTCATTATTACCCCGAAATAAACCCTTAAACAATATTTAAAAAATTATTTTTCTTTCGCAATAAACAAAAATAGACAAAAATGACAAATTTTCATGAGCACTGCTAGATTTAATGATACGTCAAAAAAAAACAAGCAAATACTATAAATCCCTAACCCTGATTATAATTATTATTAACACGGTGGGAGGTCTGAGTGAAATACACTGCATTAAATAATCGTAAACTGTACCATTTAAATTAATTTCCAAACAATATCTCGAAATGAGAGTATTGAACAAATATTGAAATGCGCTGAAATACATTTCGTGAAATATAACAGAACTAACCAGCCCCTATTTTTCATATAATTTCGTACTACACATTTTTAATGTACAATGATATGAAACAGAGCCGTAAGGGGAAACACTCCCACACTCCCCCACACTCCCATTTACCTCACTAGCTTCTTCCATATGGTTGTAATTTTTAGTACAATATCAACTTTTTTTTTTTTAGTAATAATTCTTTTTATTAATCAAACTGCACATTATTATTATATAACTACTAATCTATTATTATTTTATAAACAAAGAAAATATATTTATGTCGGGTATAAATCTGAAAACTATTAAAACAATAATTTATTTTAATGTGGGATTAATCAGCTGTCTTGCTTAAACTGGCTTCCTGAATAATACTTTCATAGGTATTTTCGAATTCACATTAAGTATAATATAACGTCATAACAAATAAAATACCCCGTCATTTAAGAACACATTTTATGAATGTACACAATAATAAAATATTTACAACTGAACCTCGTTCGTCTTGATCGTTGATTGGATAAAACCGTGTAAAATATTTTTCAACTTACATTTGAAACTTGTGATAACATATCAGCAATCAGTTACAGAGCACAGACAATGATAAATTATGTATATTGTATAATAAAGAGACTCCTTCACTAATAATTACGATAGATTTATATCTGGAGTCTTCGCTTTTTACAATATTAAAAGTTGAGAAATAAATATCATATAAAATGTAAATAATAACAATTTATTATAATTATCATAGAAATATTATTTTTTTTAAATTTGTATAGTGTATGATACTAACTACCACCTGTCCAGTAATCTTATTTATTTGTATTTAGTAGGTACACACTTTTCGAATCCATAGTGCACACTTTCAATTCCGGACTACACACTTTGTCAGGGTTCACTAAAAAATAGGGGCTAGAACTAAAACATGCGTATTAAAATAAACATTTATATGAAATATGAATAAATCAAATGTTTTTAAATAGTATAATATACGTAAAAAATAAAAACGACAAAATCATTCAGAAATGGACAAAAAATATATAAAAAAAAAACAACCGAAAACTAAAGAAAAAATAAAGACAATTTTTCGAACTGAGTCTATTGTTTTATGGTAATTCGAACTTTTTACCAAAAACAAAATAATTTTTCATATCATAAATGAACTATAAAAACAATGTATTTGCTGCAAATTCACTAATTCACAGCCAATATAATCTGTCTTATCTTAAAGTTCTGGATACGAAACTTGTTTTAGTTAGATATACATATATCCATTTTTACTAGTTGCACATACAATTTTGATAGAGCGATTGAGGATTACTAAAAATTATTTTTTATTGCACAAAAACTATTTGTCAACTTAATTTGTTTTAAGTAATGCTTAAATTAAATCATGTTTCAACTGTGGCTTAACTATTTAAGTATTTCTTAAACATGTTTTCAATATTTTAAAATACTAATTACAGTTTAAAATTTATGAACTAAAATAATATTACAAAAAGAATAAATTCGTTCTCGTGTTTCTTCTTAATCTCAAAATTAGTTTTGATATTGTTGTTTATTGTTTTAGTTTTGTTTATTTGATATAAATTAGTTTGTAGTAAATTTGTAAAATAGAATTTATTAGGTATGAAATTTGTATAATATGATTGTTAATTTACTTTTCGATGAAGAATTTGTCACTTGTATGGAATATTTTAGGGATCTTCATCATTTCGACGATGAAGATAATTGGGTGTTTGTGAAAAATGTTTTACCTAGAATTTTAAACACCGCAGTTCATAGCTGTTGAAAGTTATGTAAATCATTCAAAATCATCAAAATTGTTATTTAAAATTATTACTGTTTGAAGTTAGGAACAAACCATCGAAAATAACCTTAAGTTTTCCTTACCTAAGTATTTTTAAAAATCGATGGTGCAACACAATCATAACCTCATTTTAATTTAACGATAACATAAGTGAAACTTAAATTAAGTGAAACTTAAATTAAGTGAAACTTAGATAAGTCGAGTTTAAATATGAATGAGTTCAAATGGACAGTTATGTTCTATATTCATTTATTAATGTATAAATACGAAATTATTGGTACAGGCACTGAACAATTCACTTTTATACACGTGGTACGGTGGAATTTGAATGTAATTATAAAAAAATACCTGCGTCACGTGAATAATAATAATTTCAGATTTTATCATTGAGAAAAAAATCCATTATCAACGCGTAGAATGTTTGTGTTAGATTTTCATTTATAACAAAAGTTACGTGCGTTTTTACGTTATTCATAAAAACGTTAAGACTGCATCTAATTATACCTATGTTTTTATGGTTATAAATTGATAGTATCATAATATTATTTTTATGTGATAATAAGTATTATTATTAATTATCGTACGATGTAATAAATATTGTATAATAAATGATTCATTTTCGTTTTGATTTATGAATCAAAATAGTAATACACCGAACGATAATAATGATTATGAATGAAATTTGAATATTTTTTCATTATAAACGTACGAATCCAACCTACCACCTGTATATTATAATATTATTTTAGCTAATATTGTGCAATGTTAACTTATCAGTAAAACGCGTTTTTTTTTTCAAAAATACAAAAATACATAAAAAGTCAGTTTTTTTTTTTTAAATACTTTATAAATAATTATTATTATTATTATCATATTATGTAGGTGGTACCTATTAACTATATACGTATAGTTAGCCCGTATATATACTATCGGAACTGATAATAATAGTACGATTCTCGATAAAAAGAAAATGTGTATTTTAATATCTAACAAACAATAAAATAATACCTACCTACTTATAATTCTTAGATAAAAAAAAATAATAAAAATAAAAGAATAAATTTATCACATTTGAAAACGAAATATTGAGATCAATAGCGTAGGTGGAACACAACAAGGAGCTGCGTGAGATAATAAAATGATTGAACATAACGAATTCTATAATAGGGCGGAGAATACACCGGTTTAGACGTGCAATGCGCGAGTTAAAGGATGACGGAATCGAAGTAGGTACCTATTGTTCTGTATAATAAAAGCCGTGATCCGTCCGTCTGTAAACATATCTTCACACTGCATTGTGTCGCCCAAAATGGAACTCGTGCTGTCTGCTGATCACGTGACCCCGGTTAAGCTGGTTAAACTTTGTTTCTGATAGTGGTTACTTCAGATACGCTATATCAAGGTCAAAAAATATTTGTGTTTTGTATTTTCAAATACGGTATTTAGTTTTTTAAATATTTGATTCATGTTTGGATATTTTACAGAACCAAAGTGAAAATATGTTTTCAATAACACAGGTATTTAAACTGTGTACCTAAAAGTACATTAATTAAACTAAAATTACATTTTTAATTAACTGTTACAAAATTGTGTTATCTTATACCGTTCTAATACTTTCTATACAAATTTTAAATAGATACCTACGCTACTAGAAAAATAAAGGTTAATAACCCATATTATCTTGTTAATATAACATAACAAATAATAAATAAGTCATACTAGAATTTATTGATTTAATCCAATACATTGTACATTTTTTCAAAAAAAGTTGTTATTAATAAATTTAATGTTGGTCAGGCGGAATCAAAGAAGACCCGGAATAACTGGAAAATATGAATTTATTCGATCGGGAAAAATGTATTAGAAACATAAGTGGAAGACCTGCATGTTGGGTTGACAGCAGCTAATTAGGCTCTTAATGAGTTGTTAGACCAGAGAAGAAGAACTAAGTGAGAGATGAGACTTATATTTATTTGCGAAACCGAAAACTATATAAATATAAAAAAGGTACCTAATCGTACAGAATAACAAATGAAAGTAAAAGTTTTTTCTTCTAACAAACTTTTATTGCCTAAAGTATAACGTATTATAGCGTGTACCTGCGTGTTATTTTCCAATATCGTATAATTGAATAATATTTTAACGGTATGTCTTATGCATTATAATTGTTGAACAATATTTGATTGAAAACAGTTTTCTCGGAGTACTCAAAATATTGAATAATTACAAATATTACACTACATTATTATCTTGGCTTTCTCACTTTTACCCAGATTCTTTGAGCTGGTATGGAAATAACATTTTAATTATTCTTCAAATACTCATCCAATATCGATATTATAAAAAAACAATTTCTTGTTCACTTTTATTGATTTTAAAGTTTTTGAGGTGTTTTCACGCATCACAATAAATTTCCGGAAAATAAAAACAAATATAAAAAAAATTGCAAATTGTTTAATGTTGTTTGCTAAAAGTTGCAAAGAGGTTGCTAAATATTGGCACAGTTTCGGGGACCCTGTAATAATGTCTGGGGGCAAATATCACGTACGTTAAAAACCCAATGACATTTCCTCCAAAATAATGTTCTTTATACATTTTATAATAGGTACTTTTAATCTAAAATCGAAATTAAACTAGTTTTACGTTCTATTCTGCGTAATCATAATTTTTGCTTGTTACCCGGTAGTATTGGACTGAGGCTGTAGATGCGGGTGTAACGTCCTCCTATGGGTATGCCCTTTAATACATCACCGAGTAAAATATACAACACCGGTGGCGATGATGAATAGTTGACACACTGTATAACACCCATACGGTTTTAGATTTATTCACAGGCTGCTATTTTGATTAACGCGCGTATAGTTTCATACATTTTTCTGCGTACGGAAATAAATCGACGATCGATCGGATGTAATATATTCGAACACGTTTTATTATTATAATAAAAATTCATTCGGAAACTCGTAACTATATATATTTATATTGTGAATATAAAAGTTCAAACCTCAGAATCAAAATACACAAATCATATAATATTATACATAAATACGAAATTTTTTTTTTTTTGTTTGGTTCTTTTGACCGTATTATTATATATTCAATTTACATTACAAGTTTACATACCAAAAAAGAGTGTATAATCTCTACCTATACGGTTTATTGTACTCTCTCGTATCAGAACTATTCAATATATTACAATTCACGAGTTTTACAACGATTTTCCGCATACTTCTTATGTGGGTTTACTTTATTATTATGTTTTTATTATTTCTATTTGGGAAGTAAGTTATTAAAAAAAATAAAACCTATTTGTACATAATAATATGATAATGGGTATATTTACGAAAACAAAAATGTATACTTGGTGTGTATTGTTTACAAATGTTGAGGCGTAATAAAATAATAACATAAAAACCGTCTTCAGAATGTTATATAATATATTACAAGTACGTAGAAGTAAAAGATTTGTACGCATTAATCGAACAAAACAAATTTAATAGTAAAATCCACAAATTCCAACTGATATACATACCTACGTTTGTAACTTGATAAGTTTAACTTGGTTTTGTACTTTTGCAGACTACTTCGTATATTTAATGTCGAAACAGCAAATTTCCGGGCTTGACAATGCATACATTTTTTATACATTACATTATTATTATTATTTCTTGAGGGTATTTTTGGTAAAAATTATTTTTAGATTCTGAGAAGAGTAAGAATAATGTATTGATTTTATAATGATGTTTATTTTTTCTTTTTTTTTTCTGTGAACAATTTTTCTACCAGAAATTTTGCTCTAAGGCTTTTCAAGTGTAGTACTTTTTCTTAAAGGAAATCTGATTGGAGTGATACTTGATTTTCTCAGGGGTTTTCATAATAAATAGAAAAAAACGTGGGAAAACGGGAAAATGTACAAAATGTATTATTTTCAAATCGTATATATTATGAGAGGCCATAATTTTCCGGAACGTAAAACCCCGGAATGGAATATTCCGAAATGTAAAATTCATGGAACGCAAAAATCCGGAACATAAAAAGTCCGTAACGTAATATTCCATACCGCAATAATCCGGAACAAAAGAATGTAAAAACACGGACCGTAATATTTCGAAATGTACAATTCCGGGATTAAGTTAAAACCAATGGGGTTCCCTAAATATTTTGAATCGAGAATGTTGTTTACACTTTAAACATTTTTCTCCCGCCTATTTCGCGACCCGTTTTCCGTATAAATAGAAAACCCAGACCCTCCCTGACTATTATACCCACTTTTCCGAATTTATAATCGTCCTATTTTCTCGTTTTGAGTTTAGTATAACTTTATCCCTTTGCTGGTAATATGCATAGACATTATCTATGACAAATTTACTATTTACTTTTTCGTGATAATAACATTGATATTATGGTCGACCGCATGACAAAATAGATGATTAGATGGGAGCACATAATTTTCCGGAATATAATTATCTGGAATGATAATGTATAGGAATATTCATGACAATATTTTAGAAACCATTGACATTTTTCCGAAATATTGCAGTCCGGAAAATTTCAGTCCGGATTATTTTGCTCCGGATAATTTCATTCTGGAATTTTACGTTCGAGTTATAACGTTTCGGATTTGTATAGCCTTTATCCATATATAACAGTCATTCAAAACTCGTAAAACCGAATTTTGATCAAAATCGTTTTTTATTAGCAATAATTAATCGTTGCGTACAGAAAAACATTAAATTTTCTCTCTACCTTCTCAATTTTTCAACTATATCAGTGCCACCCATTATGCGGAGTATGTCCGTTGGTTTTTTTTCCATTCACACTCAATCAAATCCGATAAATGAAGAACGTACCATTTTATCGATTAAGTTCCCCGTGACAAATCGTTAATACACAATTATTGCACATTGTATTCGCGTGCAAATGCGCGTCTTTTGGACTGAATTTCCGTCACGTCAGTAATAATTCAACGATAATCCGTCGCTATAGAGAAATGTAACTCAGTTAGTTTTTATGTTTGCTATTTAGTATTTTTTTTTTTTAAATTCGAAATATTCGAAGGGGTCCACTAGTGTAATATATTATATCCGGCACCGCGTATAATAATATGCATAAATTTCGCAGACTTTTTTTTTCGTCCATAAATTATCGCGGTCCGTGTCTAGGGCGGAACTATTCTTAGAAACGTGAACATATATTCGCATAGTATAGCGTATAGTTATTACCAATACCTATACACAATAATAATATTATGTGGTTATGCCAAAGATATCATCGCTTTTTCGTTTTGTTCAGGTAGATAGTTAAAATTGCGGTGCGTCTATATTATAACAAATTATATATTATACACTATAACTGGACTATCAGGAATTTTACTGTAAGGAAAATAACTACAAAAAAAATGTACCGCTAACATACACGCAATCGATACATTTTTTTTTTTTTTGTTTCCAAATTAAAATGGATAAAAGAAATTCTAATAACTACGAAGTGAATAGAAAAAAGACGTTCTAGCATAATGGGAACGGGTGCAGCTACTGTTATAGATCATTTTATGTATACCTGTAAGCAACGATAAACCATTGCTTACGAAAAAACGATTTTGAGCGGAGTTCAATTGATAGTGATGCTTTGTCAACAATATATATGTCATTTTATAGTAAAATAATTAGATAATCTTTATATATTTTCTTTAATAATATTTGTTTAATGTTATCCCAATTTTCACAATTTCCCTACGATTTTTCCGGTTTTCCCATGATTTAACCAGGTTTTTTACATTTGTTGGAAAAACTCTCAAGAAAATTGAAAAATGACCTTCTTAGAGTACCTCCCCATACCAATTTTATTTCAGAAAAGGTGCTACACTTAGAAATCTGAACGTGTATATTCTGGTAGAAAAGTTGTTAACAGATTAAAAAAAAATAATTATCTTTGTAAAACCATAAACTTCTAAACTTCACTCAGAATCTAAAATAATAATAATAAATCAAATCTGCCAATCAAGTTCTCGTGCGGATTTACACGAAAATTATTATTAATAATTTAATTTTAATTAAATATTTAATTAATAATTTGTTCTAATACTATTATTCTTTCACCGTGAAGTACTTAATTTTAGAATTACTCAAGTTATGATAATACGATAAGTATAGGGTTTTTTTTTTCGAATTGTCGAGTATACGAAAAACGAAATACCAGGCACATATTGGATGAATACTAAATCCGAAATGATACTAATTAGTTATTGTATTACAATAACACGTCGATTCATCTCGAATTAATAATTATTAATTTCATAATGATATGTTACATACATTTTTGTTGCAATTTTGACACATGTTTGTTATTTTTTATTTGAAGCAGTTTAAATTAGTCATTTTATAACAGTATTTTTTTCCAAAGTATAATATTATAGCAGTACTAGACTTTTTTTTCGAATTATGCGAAATTGTGACCTTGAAAATCACTGTCTACAACTCAACAGGTAGGCACCTGTAGATAGCAGACCGTCATCAATTTATTTATTTTTTGTTTAAATTATAGCTCGTATTTTTAATTTAAAAAAAAACCAAACAAACCAAAAAAATTCGTCCCTTAGACATATAAGAATGTCACCGGTGAAAAAAAATTTAGATGCTTTATAGTACTGTATTCACTGCGAACATTTTTCACGTGTTACATTAATAATAATTAGTGAACATATATTGCACGAGTTGAGTGATTCATAACTGTAGTAAACCAAAGACATTCGCCAAGTCGATTGGGTTGTGTTACTCATTGCAGGGATTTTTTTTTATGTTCTGACAACTCCGCCACATGTTGATTTTGTTATAACTAAGTATTCGGTATATTACCGTACAGGATGTCCCACAAAGATATAGATACTGCGATATCTTGGAAAGTATTATAAATTTTTATCGAAATTTTTTGTATTTTGACAATAATTTAAGAAACAAGCAATTCTAAAATGTTACGTTACCATTATTTTTCGTCGCCTTTATTTTTCTGGATGAAACGATTACGTAATTTTGGTTTTCAAACAGCAACCTTTATTAAAAATGCCATAAATAGATGAAGTATTAATTTAAATACATTTTTGATTTTCATCAAACTGTTGATGGGATATTCAATTTTTAAATTCTGGCAAATGGAAAATAATGGAGCATCATTTGTGTGGTGGCACTGCGTGCGGCGTTTAAATAGTGCTACATTTTAGAGCTGCTTGTTACTATAGTTTGTCACAAATAATAATTACAATATTAGTGTAGTATAATACTAATAATAATATAGTATATAATACTACTATTATAATATAGTGTAATTTCTTCGTGAAACACCCTGTATACGTATAATATAAAGATTTATTTTAACCTGTATATAGTAACGCCAACATGAAAATACAAATATAAAATACGTGGTGGACAACAAAACAGATCAGAAATAGTTTAATTTATAACGAATACATAGCGAAACAAATTACAGCAATGTATAATTTGTTATATACTACATTATAATATTGTATTAAAAGGTACATTCGGGCATACGATAACGACAAATTCTCGGTTAGATTCCTATGCCACGGAAAATAATGTAACCATAAAACACGTATACGATTTCAAAATACACAGTTACAGCTGCTGCTACTAGCTGTCGTATAGTTGGCAGATTTACCCCTCCGCGTGCTGTCTTGACGTGTGTGAACATGTCGTTTTTTGCCTTCCGAATATTGCTATTAAAATGCATAGATCGTGTTTTACGAAACATATTTCTTTACTTTACATGCATACGGTTAAAATATCGAGCACATTATAATAATATAATGTTATATAATATACAGAGTGATGTCTTTCATTGAATAGGTAACTCGAATTATTTCAGCCGAATAGCCTCAGATCAAAATTGACGTTTCTTTAAGGAACGTGCGGGGAAGGAACATATTTTCAGCCGATTTTCAAAAATCCGGATCGTCCAAAAAACGGAAACGCCTATTTATAAAACCCTCGATTAAAAACAATAAACAAACGAAAAAAAACGCATGTATTTAAAAACGAAGAAGTTTGATTATTGGTATTTAGGAACAAAATTATAATTATTAATAATTGCAGAATTACAAGTACCTAACATTTGAAATAAAAAAAATAATCAGATTTATTTGCTTGAAATTGATAAATGCATATGAAAATTCAAATCCGTCGATAAAATATAAGCGTTTAAGAAAATATAAGACCTATAGCTCGTGAGCGTGGGTTAACATTTTTAAAATAAAAGCTTAAAATGTATGTTTTAAGCATAGCATCGAATCATCGATCTTCCTAAAAGAAACAAAAAAACTCCTTTTCAGTATGTGCCCATCCGAGTGAAAAACATTTCGTGTTACCGTTTGTGTGAAACACACTGTATAATGTTAAATGAGTGTAACGTTTCGGAACATATTGTAAAGCCTATGCATAAAAACAGTTCTATGTAATTATTTATTAAAAGAGCGAAAAAAAAAACACGATCGCCATTATTATGTAAAAAAGATCCTATATACCAGGTATACCAAGTACCTACTTGAAAACGTTTATATTTATAATATTATTTATCATAAACAATTACTAGCGTTATAGATATACATATATAGAATATTTTTTTTAAAACATTTAAAAAAAAAAAATTAACGATAGACCGCCGAGGACGTCAACGTCCTCATCGCCGCAACAATAGTCTCTTATAATATTATGAGTATAATAATTATTCCGTTCAATAATATACATATTATAATATACGAGTATATAATAAGACGTAGGTAACCTATCTACAGTAATTTTTTTTCCTCATCGTCTTCTTTTTTTTTTTCTGTGTGTTCGACGAACACGCGAGAGTCAAAAATCGGCAAGTATATATATTATTATAATATAATATACGCAAACAACGGTAATTCATTTTTTTTTTATTTTTTTTTTTTTTAGAATTACCTATCCACCGACTATAGTATTATATTATAATAACGCCCAATTGCCGGAGGTGGTGGTGGGGCCCGGTGGCGTGTTTACAGACCCTATCCGAAATCGGTATGATGTAAAATATACGCGACCCGTCGAGGTTTTACATTAACAAGAACCAATGCGGTTTTAGGTTTACATTATAAAATGTTCGAAGCATTATCGGACTTCGCCCGACAGTAGTCTTGTTATTCATACTGTTTAAATCTATTCAGAATAAATATGTTACGTGTTTAAGTACTTGTATAAATTGTGGTATTTGAATACTAACTTTTAAAAGTATTTGAATATAAATACTTGTTAAAAATATTCAAAATACTCTTTTCCCAATACATGTATATTGCACATGTACATCGTATACATTTGATATGCCTTGAACGATTTATACATTTGACAAATTACAAATTAACACTTAAACTTATTTATGGATATTTAATTCAAACATTTAAAAATTTAGCATATTAGCGTACTATTTAATCGATAATCATTAAAGTAAATGAGTTTATTATGTAGACTTAAGTTAAATAGTTTGAATTATTTTATTGAGCTACAACTCAATACTTTATTATACTTCTAACAATACGTTTTGAGGAAATCGTATTTTAAATTCTTAGAACCGTTAAAATAACTAATTTTATTATTACGATTTAAATTTTAAATTGTTTTATTATAAGATAAAAATACTATAAAAGTATTTTTAAAGTTTTCAAAATACATCTGTCGAAAAAGATTTTAAATTATTTACTACACCAAAAAAGTATTTGAATACTTAACGAGACTGTCGAACGGATTGGTTAAATTTTTCCATTTCCTCTATCCGCTTTAGGTACTTAAATCCACGGTGGCTTGCCATTGGCAGTAGACCTAGTATAACTAGTAACACTTGGGGCCAGGTGCATTTACAAAAAGAAATTTCAGTAGAGGTTTAAGGTTGTACACTTTCATCCTCTTATAACAAAGAAGTTTACATACTTCCAATTGTAGGATTTTTTATTTTTCATTAAAAATGTCAATATTTTATAACATTCATTTTTAGCCTTTTAAGGTACCTATTACTAAATTTTACATTTGATATTTTTTTTCTGAATACAGCCTAAATGATAACGCGTAAATAACATATAAAATCTGCATGTAATAAATACAAATAAAAAATAAATAAATTATTGTGATAATAATGCGGACTATACAATATCATCGTATTAGTTTTCTAAAAGCAGGAAAACCACAAAAATTGAAAATGACAATAATAATACATATGTATCTACTATATCTAGCGATAAAATAAAAATAAAACCAAAATTGTATTTATTTTCCTCATTGATAGAAACCACTTTTGATACTCCATTAAAAATTTACTTTCATCATAATTTTCATGAAATTTCGAAGAAGGAGGGAGTTTGAATCTCTAAATCCCCCCCCTCGTACATTCACCTGTCTGGGGCACAAACTTCCTTGGAACAGTATTGGAGGATTTGAACCCACAAGTAGGTTATGTTTTGGAAAACTCATAAAACTTTCGAAAAATAACCTCCTAAAACCAACTCTGTTATACATTTCGGCTCGGGCCGAACTTGGATAGGGTCTGTAAACACGCGGCCCGGCGCACCGCATTGTAGTGTTATTATTATAATATTACCGATACCGGTTGTGTGTGCGGGTCGATCGGAAATTTCGCACAGGTTTAGGTGCGACAACACGTAGGTATAATATAGTCTAAAGAGTCGCATTGATAGACGCCGCAGCCGCCGACAGGATACCGCACGCGAAAAAAAAAATAATAACGCGAGTAATAATATAATAATATGACGTCGTCGTTGGTAGTCTAAAGAAAGAACTGAACGCGTAAAAAAAATAAAATAAAATATTAATAACGCGGCACAAATACAATCCCGAGGCGTTGTGCTCGCGAAAATCGCTGCACCGACGGCGGTCGGGACCGCCTGCACTCTGTCGTTTGACCTTTCACGAAGACTTTTTTTTAAATATTATACATTTTTTTTTTGTGTGTATATATATTTTTTTTTTACCAACCGATAACAAACGCTACGCGATATAATAATAATAAAATAATCACTATTCAGATCGTATACATACATCCTCGCGCATTCGCGTAGCTACCGCGGGGGCAACCGAGGCAATCACCTCGAGACGTACAATTTTTTAAGGGGCTTACGTGTGCGATAGTAGGGGCGTCTCTAGACCTTGGCAGGAAGGGGGCGAAATAATTAAATTTAATATTAATGATTGATAAGAAAAAAACGTGACATATTTCGGTGAACCACTATTATAGATAAGAATTTGGGAAGGTAGGATATTGAAGGAAATTTAATATATAATTATATTTAAGAAAAATTTAAACATTGGCAACAAAAAACGATTCTGAGCGGAGCTCGGTTAATAGTATTGCTCAGGGGCGTCTTCGGATCAGTCCCATGGGAGAGGGGAGCGGTGAACAATTTTTACTCTTGAATACCACCGTTTTTGTTAACAAAAACTTAAAACCTTTATGTCTGATGTCATTTAAACTTATATTAGCTTAGAAGACTGCAGATATCAACGTATCAAATGCAGTAAAACAGTACAATTTAAGAGTTAATTTTTTTTTTTTTACATTAAATAAATAATAATTAAAATAATGTTAATGTGAATAACAAAAATAATAATGATAATAATAAATAAAAGTTAGATGACCAAGTCCAAAATACTTCAATCTTAAGCAGCGTTTTACAAGCGGTTTAATCAACAATATTTTCTATATTAATGTTTTTATTTCGATGAATATTTAAAAGTGATAAGCCAATTAGCCTTTGCTCAACATTTTTTTTTTAATACTAAGTACAATTTGTAATGAACATCATATTAAATTCTGAAGCATTTTTGTTTCATTTCCAAATTTGATTCTAAAAATATGTTGTTTCACTATATCTTTACAAATTGATTATTTCCACTTGGTTTTCCATAATTCTATCTCACCCTTAAGAGAATATTTATTGAAATGAATAAATGAAGTGTTTCATTCTTGTTTCAATCAAAGTATTTCCAAGATCCGGAATCATCTTTCAACCAGTTGAATTTGTACTTAAGAATTATGGATATTTTATATCACAACAAAGAACATCACACAGCTTATGGGAGGAAGGGGTGGCGATCGTCCCCGTCCCCCCTCAGAGACGTGTCTGTGTTATAGGAGCAATGCAGGTGATTTAGTCAAGTATTCGGTAGACAAATATTATGGTTAAAATCTAATCAATGTAAACGTGCACGCGAATCAGGCCTAATAGCTAGTTCATGGGTCGATTTAATTGGCTGCGATTCGTGCGTCACCTGACTCGCCTGTAGCGACAAACTTATAAAACTGATAACATTATAAATTTACCATTTATTTTATATACATAACATGTATACATATTATATTTACATATTTATAAATACTGTATACGCATACTATAGTGCATAGTGTACATTTAATCAATAACTATGTTAAACGATTATTATTGGTACAAATTAATTCATATTTTCATAAACATATGTTGGATGTAAATATTTAATATCTATATATGGCATAAAATGTAAATTTACGTATAATTTAAAACTAAAACGAAACATTTAATGAGATGTGTCCATCTTTTCCAGAAAAACAAAAATCATTCTATCAAACATACAGTCGCAGCATTGTTTTGATGACAAAGAGAAAAATTTCTATTTTCTATTATAGAAGTGAAAAAAATATTCACCGCAGGGCGTTTTAATGTGCACCTAGGCCACTGTCCTCGCGGTTCTTCGCGCCGCAATAATAATAACAATATCATTAAAACGACGGCGTAATCGAAATTGTTAGCCTTGACACAGTAAGGGGAGGGGAGAGGAAATTTTTAAATTTTTGATATTTATCTAATTGGAAAAATTGGTCGAATAGGTTTTATCTCGTATAAATCGTTTAATTTGTCGATGTAATCTTGATAAGAAATTACGCGTGTATACTCTTTGTATAATAGGTTCGTTGCAATTTATGACACTCATACAATGAGTACATACATACAGGTTATACGTTATGATGCTCAACGTAAAACACTCATTGTCCCGGAAAGCATTAATTTTGTATGGAATTTGATTTTAAGAAACAGGCAGCTCTAAAACTTTGCATTATTATTATTTATTTTTACCCTTATTTTTTGGCGGTGAAAACACTATGAGTTACTTACTTTAAATCTCCAAATGTAATATGAAATTAAAAAAAAAAAATTTCAAATAGTAACCTATATTACAAATTCCATAAATAGATGAAAATCTAGTTTCAATAAACTACGATATTGAAACAGGTTGTTATTTGAAAATTGAAAGTAATTTAAGATTTTAGAGCTGCGTATTGTTTCTAAAATTCGGTTCTGAAAACCGTTTTGCGAAAAAAGTAAATATTATGTACTTTCCGAGATAACGATTGACTTACGTAATGTTGATCGCTCTATATTATAGTCATAGCCATTTTCCTCCAAAAATCGATTAGTTTTCTATTATTGTCCATTTTCTTCCGGAAAATATATATGAATCTAGCCATTTTCTTTCACTACGTTAATACGAAATTGTCAATTGTCATCCTTCTAATTTTTGTATGGGTATGCAGCCAATAATGTTATTCAGGATATTTTTATATTCAGACAAATACTGGATATCAATCAGTATCTATTAACAATAATAACCTATAAATTAAGTTGATTATAAACTTTTAAAAATAACTTAAAAATGACGTAATATTTATTATGATTCACCAATTCGTTTTCCAATAACACGACGATTTATAATTTATACGATATATAATCGAAAACCAATCTGTTATTATTTACTATTTTTTGGCGTACATTTGAAATCATTCGAACAAATCTAATTACCAAACTAAAATGGTCGAGATATAATAATAATCATCAAATATAAACCAAAACTGAACTCACGTTTATTTAAATTGATCTTATGTTTTTCTTTTTGGTAATAATATAATAATGACATTTTAATAATATGGTCATGCTGTTGCTGCAGTTTGCTGATTAGCCAAAAAAAAAAAAAAAATATGATTTATTCAAATTGAGAAGTGTAAACAATAATATATACTTCTATCGCCGAAAACGGCAATACTGATTTTAATTGTTTCTTAGAAAACAAAACTTTATTTTACTAAAAAAAAAAAAAAATACTACGTGTTACGGTATTATTTCTATAATGAAAATTGGCGTGATAATTGTTAAATTTAATACAGGTTACGGGTGTTTATATATTATACACTATTTACACCATAATTTCTAATATTTCGATAATATTGTTTCTATGAATTTCCTTTATATATAAATGATTGGTTTTTTAATTCTGAACAATAATACAAATAATTTACTATATTTAATTACTTTATTTATTTACTAGTATCAACCATTTTAATAATTTTGTTTTTACTTTATTATTTTATTAATTATTGGTAGTTGGTAATCAACTTTATATCTGGACACTACTACCCTCTCCCTCAAAAAACATTCCCGGCTACGTGCCTTCGTAGGTCTAATTTACATTGTTTGTGGACCTTTTTTATGGTACAAGCCAGTCTGTATTACGTAAAAGATATTTCATATTCTGTATTACTACCTAAATTTGAAGAGTAGTTCAAGTATTTGTATCTTTTGTAGTTCAGTACTTGTTTAGAATAATTGGTGTGTTTTGTATTTTTAGTATTTAGATAAAATTATTTTACCCATCTGTGTATATAACTTGTGGTTAAGGTGGTAAAGGTATTAAAAATGAATGTACGTTAATCGTGGAATAAAAAGTATGCGTATTTTATAGGTTTTATATTTTGGTACATCAAGTCACAGAAGACCAGGATTTGTCGGTGACCGTCACGCCGGCTAACATCACTATTTTTTGGGAGTTGTCGTTCCTGCCGCCGCTGAAAAATGGATCATTTCAAAAACGTGAGTGTCACTAGGCAGCTGCAGGACGGGCCTTATTGACTATTATCACCAGTGGCGTACCCAGGATTTTTGAATGATGGAGGCTAAAATAAAAAATTTATAATATAATAATGCCAACAAAATATGTTTAAGTCTATTTTATGAAGCCTTTTTCTTGTGGCTAAATTATTGCTAAGTACACAATTGTATATAATAACTACTAAATATTATAATTCATATTTATATAGTTAGTGGATTTAGTAGTGCAGATGTCCAAACGTACAATGATTATTATTTTATTATTATAAAATACGTTAAAACTGATGACACAGATTTTATTATTTGTTTACGTTTTAATATGGCCAATTTAGGGGCGTGCTGGTAGGGTACTCCACTGACCATCGTCAATAGTATTATAATCTATTAGTACTATAACTAATATATTATATTACTACTACTCTATCACTATTAATTACGAGTTACTTGTATATACATTATAGTGGGAACTGATATGCCGCCAGGACATACACTCATCAGTTATACCGGAGTATCTATACCCTTGACGTATGACCACGGAAGAGCTTACAGCGGTCTCTATGTGATGACCGTCCAAGCCGAAGACGACGGTTCGCTGCAGGATATAAATTTAATATTTATTTATGTGTCACTCAAACAGAGGTCACCCGTGGAACAGTTCGGTCTCCGTCCGAACGTGATAAAAATCAAAAAAGGCGGACAAAAAATCAGTTTAAGATGGAATCTCAGGTAATAATGATAGTCTTAAAGCCATATAGCTTTTCCATCCGATTTCACTCGTGTAATATTTTTGCCTATTATCATCTGTCATCGCCAGTTCAGTTGATAACGCGAATTCCACATGATGGTGTAGTCGTAGTGCAATATTATCTACACGAGTGTAAAAAAAATGACAGTTGATTTTAACGGTATGCCGGTTTTACAGATAAATATATATATATATATTATAGATAGCTGACTGTATATTATTGTGTACTCAAATATTACGCCAGCCGTCATTTGCGGGTAGGTCAACGTTTACAAATTTTTACAAACTGATGTTATCAATTTAATTTAAGTAATAAGTAAACGGTCAACGTTTTTAAAACTTTGTTTTCAATTATTGCCTGGTGGTTTGAACACAGAATAAGCTGAAATAGGTAAAAAATTTATATTACCAACATCGTATCAGTACTTTAGTCTTTATATTCATGTTTTGATTTACATGATTTTGTGTTAAGTGTATACAATATGGTGTATCGGTGTGCTCTAGGAGTGTTAATTCGTGTACAAACCGTTCAAAACCAGACGTACAACTAAACTTATATAGTAAAGAACTATATTGGTTCGAAGAGATATTTTATATTATAATGCAGATATTTGCTTTTGTCGTTCAGTAATTTTTTTTTTTTTTGTACCTCCTTATGTTTAATGTATACATAAATGGACCCTACACTAAATTAACCATTTGTATTCAAATAAATATATTAATCATTTAATTCATTAGAATATTGATAACAAATTATTAACATTAACCTATCTGCATATGGTGGCCAAGCTCCCCTTATTTTGCAAAGCCGGCTATCTAGTGTAATGTATAATATTTATCTGTCGTTGGTGTAGATTATATTCTATGTATATTTTTTATGCGATTTGGACTTTAGTTTGATAACTGTTATCTAACTAACGATATATTACTATAATACTATAATTATGTCCCATGGCATCAAACCAGGTACCCATAATACTCGTGTAGTATCATACCAATGACCACGCATAGTGAATAGTGTATACCTAACCTGATACCTACTTATTAACGTCTACTCGAGAATAATTTGTGTTTATCATTGTGTTTATTTACAGCTTTATAGATCAACATCTAATAAAATACTGTCTGGTGGTGAGCACTTCAAAAATATACACAAGTCTGTACGAAGCCGAAAATCGTTTGCAAAAAACACAAAAATTAGATTTTACGTCGAATTATTCGCAAGATAGATTTGAAAAACTCGGTGGTGATAGATTAGAGGTAAATGCCTATCGTTTATTTTTTATTTTTATTAAATATTCAAACAAGTTTATCGTAAAGAATATTTAGCTTTTATATGAATACTTATATCATATGTATAATATAACAAGGACTATAAAAGAAACCAATTTAAACTTGTATCTGTAATAAAAAAAAAAAAAAAAACGGTAATGGAGCGTCGAACTCCAAACCTATTACAATATTTTATTTTTTTATAATTTATAGGTACATCATTTAGGAAATAATACTAACTACACGCTAACAGATTTAGTTTATGATAAAACGTACTATTTCACGGTGTTCTCGATAAATGGATCGCAAGTAGCCACGCAATATGTCAACACCACATTCAAATTTCAAAGGCCCAAACCCATTAGTTTAAAAGATGCCAAACCTAAAACAGTGAACCTGAGAGCACAAAATGGAAAAGCGTCCTTCCGGTATAAGGTTGGTATTTGCTCCAATAACTAGAAATTATTCATTATATTCTTAATTTATTCGTGTTACGTGCGATATTCGCTATGTTATTTTTTTAAATTTTAGATTGGCCAAAGATCACTGGAAGGAGAAAATGATCTTAATACGTTATACTGGTACGTGATGCCTTGCGGCGGAGTGGTCAATGTTGAGATTCGGTGTAGAAAAACGTTGCTTTTAACCAAAAGAATTTTCGGTTACGATAAATTAGTCTTAAACAACACTAATCGAGGAGAAAGATACGTGCTAAAGGTGGAAACCGTCTCAGTAGACGAGACTCAACGTGTCAGATCGATTGAGGTTAGTAACATAAGTAGTTCTGTTGTTTCGGACGGAAAACTCTTTGAAAAAATTGGTTTTTTATTTTAATATAAATTGATTTGTATAAAAAATACATATCATTAGAAACAGTAGGCATATATCGTCAAACAATTTTAATTTAGACGTTTGATAATAGGTATACAAATTAACAGAGGGGTTCTAAAAGATACCGAGTTTTTTTTTTAGCTTATTTATTAACTGATTAAACGTATGCATAATTTGTGTCGTTCTATATCTATTCTTGAAATAGGTAATGGCCACTGTCCGGCCGAAGATGTTTCCGATGCCAGACATGCCGAACGATTTAAGCATCCGACAATACTCTAAACCAGACGATTGTAATTCGGTGACGATCGGTTGGTTGCCCGCCAAGTCTTATACGGATCTACGGTATTGCGTGTACGTACAGCAGTACAACTATAATAACGGTGTAGATTTTGCAGTCAAGCCGGACCAATGCGAATCGTCGTACGGCAATTATCATAAGAAACGCGATACCGTTAACAATTACCGAAAGACGACGAGGTGCTACATCGGTGAAAAAGAGTAAGTATACATGAAAATCGATTAATATAGGCGCCTACCTATACAATCGATTATTAGTAATATAGCAATAAAATATTCCGGTATTATTTATTTTTCGCGCAGGAAGGTTTCAGTGCAAAAGATATTGAAGCTAAAATCGTCCACGACGTACGTCATTAAAGTAACGGTTACCAAGCCCAGAGGAAGGACGCTGTCGTACGATTTACTGAAATTGGATACGAATACTTGCGGACCGAACTGAAAGACTATAGATTATACTATTATGCTACACAATATTCGCTGAAAATCGACAAAAGCCATAGGTATTGGCGAGAATGCCATCAATAATAAAATTGGCGTTCGTCGCATCTTCTTCATCCTGTAATCCTTCATATAGTATTATTACGTTTAAACATACTTTGTACCGTAAACACACTATTTTTGTAGATTTTATTATTTTGTTACTATTCATTTTACTACCTATATTTATTGAATATAAAATCCACGGTACCACGGTGTTAACAAAAAAAAAAAAAAAAAAATATGTATATATGTATACGTATATATAATGTAAAACCAAAATAAGGAATGCGGAACGCCCTGGTGTCGTCCGTTATATTACATACTAAAAGGAACGTAGCGTGTTCGACAATATGTATACCTATACAAAAAAAAAAAAAAAAAAAAGATTAAACAGGTATAGTTAATTTAAAAATACCGAAAACCAAAATGAATTAAGTCCCTACCTAATTTGGGGGGGTTACACTTATTGTAACGTATTGTATCGACGAGGCGTTAATGAGTCGGAAAGAAAACATTAATAATAATGTTACATAACTTGCATCGCGTTATAGGTGTCGTGCGCTCGCCTTGGTGCACGGCGTATAAAATACACTTCAGGAATTCGAGTCCATTAAATTTCGGGTATTGTGGCGGCAACGTGGGTCGCTGGGAGGTACTGTATTAAGAGTTAGTGAACTCGAAATAAATAGTATGGAGAGTAACCTTCAGTGTAGTTATTATAATCTAATAACAAGCTCCAGATATTTTTTCCCTCATTCCGACAAGGGATGTTTACGCGTCTATATACCGATAGACGACTCGTTTTCACTTTCGAGAGTTATTATTATGACACAGGTACCATTATAACATAGGTACGCCTAAAATATAATATAGACGTGTACATAAAATATTAATTGTATTTTCTTTTGTTTAAAATATAAAATGTATACTAAGCAATCCAATTATTATTAAAAAAAGAAAAAGAAAAGAAGTCTTCCGACTTTATTTTGATACATTAAATCGTTGTTTTTTTTTTTTTTTGTTAACAAAATAATTTATTGTTAACAATAAAGTATATATAGTTGATTCAGTAAGTGTAACAATATTGTTTTCATATTTAAGAAGAAAAAAAAACCTTTTGAAACTTAAAATAGATATCAAAAACGGTAAAATTATTTCTAACAAGTAACGAACGATTCATCACAATATTAATCACGATATTTGATACATTCGTGTATTTATACTCATAAATAAGACTGTTTTCTGAAAAATAATAATATATCCGGAAGACATTTTGAATCAATTAGCAGTGAAACAAAAAAAATATGTCTATTGTAAATCAACAGTAAAATATTTTAAGACTTTCATCTTACAGTATACGTATACCCATCAATTGATTAATTTTATTTTCTATTTACACCACTGAACTAGTTCTTGTATGTCTCAATAAAATTATACCTAAGCATTTAACAGAAACCATAAACAAAAAAAAAAAAGCTGTTCTAGGATAATGGAGATGGGTACATCCACTGTTATGGGTGAGAAGTTGGGAAGGTAGTAGAGGAGAAATTTAATGAATATCTGTAAGGAAAAATAAACCATTGCTAACGATAAAACAATTTTGAGAGGAGTTCGGTTGATAGTGTTGCTTTGTCAACAATATATATGTCATATTATAGTAAAATAATTACATATACATTAACTATATATTTTCTTTAATACTATTTGTTTAATATTGTACCTATTTTCCCGTTTTTCAATTTATTGAAAAAAACTCATAGAAAAATCAAAAAACGACCTCTATAAAGTACCTCCCCAGTCAGATATACTTTGAAAAAAATTGTTATTATTGTAAATCGGAATGGGTAAGGTAATATGTAAATAGGTAAGCACTTTATTTTTAAATTACAATTTTTCAATAGAGGATGGATTTTAATAGCTATAAACCTCTGAACAACGTGGACCATTTTGCATAAACCTAATAAAAATTAGGATCCCAAATACTTACTGGTGGAAACACGAGCGGCAGGTAATTGACCCATAGGGGGCTACAGTGATTTTGGCTTCGCACGGAAACATCTTTGACACGTGTTGACTGTTTGGCGAGCTAGATCACGTCCTCTTAAAGGCCAAATGTCAAAAACGTCCATCAGCTTACCGCTGGTAAGTCTCCTGGAAATGTTTTTTTCACGTCATTTCATCTTCATTCTTCTTACACCTCGATTTATCGGTATCCATCCATGCAGAAGTCGTCACCAGTGATAACATCGGCAAAACTGTTTGATTTCGTTGCCGATTTGCTACTATCGGACCTGAAATTATCCATCCAAGAGCCGTTTCATACAACCAAGGCAAACCTCCTGGCATCCCCATTGGTAGTGCACGAACAAGCTCGTAAAATGTCTTTGCTCCTAAAAGTAAAGTCAACTTCAGAGGACACATTAAATCCAGGATCTGCCAGACCTTTACGTCTTTTGGGAAACTCCAACTGGTGATGTTCACGGACTGCACTGGTAAAGGAGCAGTGATGACAAGGAGAACGTGAAAATCAATAGTCTTTCTATATTGCGAGTAGAACGAGGCAAAACTTGTCCATATTGTCGAATTTGTATTGGTGCCATTAACACCACAAATGGGCAATGTAGCACGAATTGTCTCTAAATTTAATCACATAGCCATTCTCTGCGTTATTATATTAACTTGTGACTCATTGTCCAAAAGATCTTGACAAGAGTGATCACGGCGGTGGCGATCCTGAACCATAACCACCGCCGTAGACAGCAACACCTGTGAAGACGAACCATCACCAAGGAAATCGATCACTGAACTCCTGGGCGCCAAGGACTCGCTTTATCATTTGGAGTAAAAAATTATGTGGAACAAATCTAATTTTCCAATTTTTTTTATTAAACATATATGTTACCGATTTAAAAACGACGATGAACTCAGAATTGAGCGGACTAAGTTTCGAAATTATAGCTTTTTGGAGTTCTGATGTGCGGATATTATGTTATGTTAAATAACTCTATATTATCTCACTAAAAGAATATTCGTCGTGATCTAATGGTTATAGATGCCTATTACCATATTATTATTTTTATTTTTATTATTAAATATACGGGATAACCCTTTTGAGCATAATATACATATACATACATATGTAATGTTTAAATGTTTGATAAAATTATTATTAGTCTTAAAAGCGATTTTTACATTATTTATATAATTGTTCAGAATTTTAGCGAATTCGTTACACATTATTTTGATATTTCATAGTACAACAGTTAACATTATTTGGCGAGTTGTGTACTATTTTTTGAATAGTATTTAAATTGAAATTATTTGTATGGGCTATATTATAGATAATATTAAGCTGGCGTTGATAATTTTCATTTCATTTCATTTTCATTCATTTAATGAAATACGTTCAAGGCTATAGAATATTAAATTAAAAAATGATATTTCTGAGAATAAAAGTTATTAGAATCAAATGGTATTAAAACATCAGTTTCTGTAAATACTAAAATCAAATGTATTGTTTATTATGAAAATTGTAAGATCTTAGAAATTTAATATGTTATTCATTTGTATTTCTTGTGTAAATTGAATGGTTTTTATTTATTTTGTTTAAGTAGTTAATTAAATTTTCTGCTTGTCTATTTGAACCTCTAAATAAAATGACAACGTAGACATATCTATAATATACTTTTATATATTTTATTGTTAATAATATTATTGGTTTCATAATTTTGCATATAAATTTCAGATAAAAGAGTGCTTAAAGGGCCACCCATAAGTAACCTATATTTTTGAGATTATAATTTATTGTTATATTGGAAATAGTTTTGATTAATAATTACATTTATTGATTGAATAATTTCGTGTACTTCAATTGTATTAAATTTAATATATGTATAAGATTATTTTTGAAATAATTTACTGTTTCGTGTTTAGGAATGGATGTATATACATTTTTGACATCAAGATAAATCATTTCATAACTATATGAATGTTATTAATTTATGAATAAAATCATTTGTATTTTTTATAGACTTATCAGTATTTTTTAAATTTTTCTTTTATGAGAGTCTAAATATTTTGGAAGATTATAAGCTGGAGCAGTGTTAAGCAAGTTAATTAATGGACAAATCGGATAATCTTAATTATGTAATTTTATGAATGGATGCAAGTGTGAAACCTATATTTTGTAATCAGATTTGAGTAATTTTTTTTTTGAACTTTAGGTATTTCTTTCCAGTAGATACAATTATGCTATTGTTATCATTTATACAAATTAAATTCATAAAAAAACTTTAGATTTGATAAATAATAATAATATTCAAAACTGAACATATAACCCAACTATAATTTACACTAAATAAATTTATAAACTGATAACAAATTCAAAAGAAATCATACTGAAGGTCCAAAAGAAAATATTATTAAAATCTGATTAGTATTATTAATAACGAAATGCGAATGAAAATTCAAAGGTGGTTAATAATGTAAAGCAGGGGTATCTATAACCTTTAGTGAATATTAGGCTATATCATGTAAGTATAAGTTGTTGTGGGCCACATGCATTTTAATAATAATACATTCTATTTATAATTTTTACCATAATGAATAATGAGTAGAAATATTTTGACGAGCTATTAATTTTTTTATTACATTTATGACAATAAATAAATATTTACATCATCATTTTATAATTTATTAATATTACCATAACACTATTTAAGTACATAATATGAGTAGCCGCACAGTTAAGTTAAATTATTTGTATTAAATTATCGAACTTCATCAAATATGAACAATTATAAACAATTTCAATACTAATGAATTTAAGTAATTACTTAGCCCCTTTTTGACATCACATCTTTTCTAACTTGAGTTTTTTTTTTCTTAGCAAGGTTTTTTCATGTAGTTGACGGAGGGTTTTTATTGGGATATCACTTACTTTTTTTTTATTAAAATTTAAGATATAGTTAATCAGTTTTTTTTACATAAATAAAATTGTTTTTTATTCATTGAAAATGGCCACCATTGCAAATAAGTGATAACAACGGATACAACATATATTTTGTTGAACTGTTGAAAAAAAGAGTTCCGAGTAAAAACTATGCAATTACTTTTGGCATATTACTCAGGCTGTAATTATTCTATCAACTTGAAATTTACAAAGTAACATCTACTAAACACATTGATCAACTCGTGTAAAATTCAAAACAATCAGTTCATTAGGTAAGGCTACAGAGAGAAGAGGTTAAACCATTTGTCATCAAATTACAGAAGTTTGTAGATTTATGTTCTTAAAATAAATTTTTTCTCATACTATATATAGTTAATTGATAAGTTGAAATTGAAAGTAGGGCCATATCTACCATGGACCGCGGGTTGGAGACCCTTGATGTAAAGGATAAAGCAAGTTTACTAAAACATAATTTTTTTTTTATTATTATTTATAATAATTAAATAATTGTCATAATTTATGTTTTATATGATTGCAAAATTAACTGCATTGTTACCAGAGGAAAAAAGAAACATAAGTTTAAGAAATCGGCAACGTGAACCATTTGAAATTAAATACCATTTGACACCTTGAATTCCAAGCATCTCAGCCATTATTCAAATCCAATATAAATATGTTTAGCTTTGACAATTTTAATAATACTTTATGGAAGAAGTTTTTGTACTAAAAAAAAAAAATTTTAATTTAAAATTCAACAAAATATTTTACCTCTAGCATTATTAAGATGTTGCTCAAAAATGATCATTGTAAATTTCAAATTATGTATTAAAATTGATTTACTTAATGTACCTAATATTCAATAATTACAAATAATTATTTTATATTTCTGTTTAAGTTCAAATATTAAGACACATTGCTTCTAGAATAATTAATATAGAATACATTTGATAATTCTTGTTATAGAAAAATTAACAAGTCATATATATATTTGGACAACTCTCATATATTTTTGAATTTTAATACAAAGATAAATAATTTAACAATCATACTGAATATGAAATTTAAAAATAAATTTACACAAATTCATTAATACTATTATTGGAAAGCCATAATTTTAAAAATAGAATTTTATTTACTCAACAATTACCGAATTTTAAAAGTGTACTGAGAAACTGATAAATAGAGCGGCAACAAAAAACATGTTATTTACTGAATGTTTATTAATAGACAGGGGTGTAAACATTGTATTGTTTTGACCAATAAAAACAGTGTAACAGATTTATAATTTACATTTTAACTGTATATTTAAATACAAAAATATAGATAATTTTGATGATTAGAAAAATTAAATAAAAAATTAAGATAATGTTGAACAGTGAAATTATTCTTAAAATTATGATACTTGGATATTAACTGCATCAATCCATGTATAATTTTATCCAATATGTTTATTAAAAATTATATAAAGTATAACTAAAATACTGGATGGGTTTTATGATATCTACTTACAACACCATTAATTTGATAAACTTATAACTTACTATAACCATTAATAATTTTTCAGCATTAGCAACTTAAATAAACACATCAGCATTATTGCAATGATTATCAATCCAATTATCCAAATGATGTATGACATCTACTCTAGGACTATCAACTAATGCTACACTATCTCTTAATAGAACACACTTATCCTTAGGCTAGTACACGTCTACTAATTCTTTTTCATTTAACTTTTTTCATGGTTTAATACATGTGTTAAATGACTGACAGAATATAGAATAAAAAAAAAAATTAAAAATTATATATATAAAGGTAAAGGTTACTAGATACCAACTTACTTCTACGTTCTGTTTTTTATTACTACCTTCAATAACCAAATATGTATATCCACTTTGAGAACCTTCAACTTGCAAAAACAATTAGTTGATAATTTTATCAGTGAGAATCTCAAAAATAATATATTGAAATATTTAAGTTATTATTTATGTTAATAGTTCTTGAGGCTCAATACTGGACCAGTATAACTAACTTAACTAATTTAATAATTATCTTACAAAATTCAGTTATTTAATAAAAGCAAAATTAAACTGTTGTAATTATTAAAATTTTGTATGGTAATTTTTTTGATTAAAGCACTAAAATTATGATTATCTTTAAATTGTATTATTTGTGTTTCAAGTCTAATTTTAACCTAAACAACACAATCCATGTTAAGAGAAAAAACCTGCATCTACTGTCCCAGTCCAACTACCAGATAACATGCAAAAACAATGCTTACTTAGAATAAGTAAAACTAGCTCAATTTTGATTTTAGAGTAAATTTTTACAAATACAAAGTACAGTAGGTGAGTATTAACTTTGGAATTCATTTTATCAACCAATTTATTGAAATTGCCCCAATATGTTCAAAAATGGTTAGAGTAAATGGATTTTCGTATGAAATATATGATACAAATCTATTTAGCATCCTCTTGAAATTGTGGATTTTTTTTGGAAAACTATGTATTTTAATGTTTTAAAATTTTTAGTTTAATTAATTTTTTTGAGGAAATCATTAGTTTTTAAAAGTTAATGCCTTACAAAATACATGAATTTTGGTGTTTAACGCATAGTTTACTGTAGGTAAACAAAGTTTTCTATTTTTTTTTTTTGAAACCTAAACGAATCAACATTTTAAAACTGATGATGTACAAATTAATTAATAGAAAATCAAAGTCTGATTGAGCATCCCTTTAAAATGTTGGTATTTTTTTGGAACGCAATGTATGCTAATATCGTATTTTCAAAAATATAAAACCACGTCAGGTAGGTAACAGAAAAAAGTGAAAAAACATTATAGGTGGAATAAGAGATCTATATGGTCACTTGCTTGCTGAACTCACTTGGACAATTTTAATCGAAAATAACTATCGGTTTATGGTGCAAAACCACTTCGGGTAGGTAACAGGTGACCTAACCAATAGTTTGAAAAGCATAATCGCTCCCTATGAAAATGCTTACCTAATACACCAAAAATCGTGAACTTTGTAAGACAATCACTTTAAAACGATTTCCGCAAAAAACTTAATTAAACTTCTATTTTTAAAACGTTGAAATATATAGATTACCGAAAAAAAAATCCTAAATTTCAAGGAGTGCTAAACTAAATGTATAACAAATATATAATAGAAAGTATAAAGAAGAAATTAATTTGAACATAAAAAAGTATATATACTTAATAAAAGTATATGGAGTGAGGGTAAAAATAAAAAATGGTTTCAAATAAAGCTTAAACGATTCCACAATCATTAAAAACAACAAGGAAACAAATTTATTTAAAATCCCCCAAGTAAATTGCAAGTTCATAATGAAAGAGCTTATGGGATGGGAGCGGCTACTGTTGTAAGTGAGAAGTTGGGAAGGTAGGATACATAAGGTTATATTCTTTTATAACAACGATAAACCATTGCTTGACAAAAGACGATTCCGAGAGCAGTTCGGTAATACATAAGTCGTCCGATGATTTTGGAAATTTAATCACATCCAGGTAAATCCAATATAAGAATTATTACCAAGTTTCAAGCCTTTAGGTGTATTTATAACCAAATTACAGCAAAAAAACTCCCAATAATTAAAATTCCTTAAAACCTCAAAAGTGGCTCAAAAGTTTTGGTATTGATACCGATAGATAGTAAATCAAAAAGGCAATAAAAAAGGTATTTTATGATTTTTCGATTAAATAATTTTTTTGGTAAAAAACGTCATTTGTGTTTTTATAAATTAATGAAATTGTGAAATTGAACATTTTCCTAAGTTTTTTTTCACCCAAGTGCTTTTAATTAAAAAAAAGGGCACTGAAAATCAAAAAATGACTTCTCAAACATAGACATCTAAAAAAACTTGAGCTTTCAGAAAAGCTGCTACACGTAAAAATCAGAGCAAGTTTACTGGGAAAAAACATGTCCACAGACTAGAACAAAGAAAAATACAAAAAGAAAGAAATAAATAAATAACAGTGAAAAACCAATAGCTTCCTCGCTTCGCTTGGAATCTAAAAATATGATATAAGTACCTTTTTATTTTCTAAATACATAGTAATTTTGTAGCCAGAAATTGTTATATATCTATACAGTGACTTCAAATTTATTAAAACTAATAAGAAAAATATTATAAATGTTCTAATATTAAAATGATTAAATTAATGGTAATTTTACAAATATATTTCAACCGATTTGACTAATATTAACTAAAGAAAAGTATTATCAAATTGGTTTAACTTGAACTCTGCTTTCAACAGATTACCTTTATCAATTAGCATTTTTGATACTTCAGTCGCCTTGGATAATATTCTTAAGTTATCATCTAAACTTTGATGATCAAATTAAAAGTTTAAATGAAAACCTAAAAATATTATTCAAGAATGAATCATGATGATCATGAATATCAGTCCCTGATCTGTCAACCAGTTCACAAAGTTGTTCTTATGTGCTAGATAACTCCTGCTGAACATGATGACTACAATTTGATGATGAAAGATCGACAATCAACCGGAATTTGATGGTTAAATGGTGGACATACTGTCTTTTAAATTATTTTTCTTTAGCCTTTGTTGTCCGTGACAGTCGCTTATGTAGATAAAGACAAAAAAATGTAAATTTATATATTGTATGGCATAAAATATTAAAGCAAATGGAACTTTTATATTAAATGTTAATACTCACTAATCCTGCAAAACTAAGTCCTGCTATAGTATCTCCAGCATCTACAGCTAATAAAGCTATCAGAATAGGAAAGAACACAGGCAAATTTTGTTCCATGGATAAAGCATTGATTGATGGATTGTTAGATGGTGAGAACTGAAATCAATAATGCTAAAACACAAATAATTACTAACCACCTTAGTTATTAAATAATATTTTTAATTTTCCATCATGATGCTTAATTGATTACTTGACCAACTGGTAAATGATGTCACACAACCAAATAATATGGACAATACCCAAGAGAACTTGAATGCAAAGTGTTCATAGAAATCTTTACATAGACTATCACAAGTTAAATGGTTCATATTGTGGATTTCTTAAACATATGTTTCTTTTTCCCTCTGGTAACAATACAGACAATTTTTTAATTATTTCTTTTTAACTTTTGTCGATATTCGAAGCTAAAGCAGGAGAAAGTCTAGCTCGCAAATTACTAAATACCAGATTCCACATATTTATTAAGTTCTTTTTTATAAATATTTTAAACCAATGGATCTAGATGAAATGGCAAATTAAAGACATCAACTAAAACAGATAACAGGCCTATTTCATCACTTAGTACTTTAGACACCTAAAAATGATACAAAATATAAATTATGACATTTATTTCATTATTATTAGAAAAAAAAAAAAAATTATGTATAGTAAACTTGCTTTATCTTCTACATTAGAGAAGGGCAACTCAATGTTACAAGAAGGTCAATTTTTATTAATTTTAAATCTAACAGGTCAGAGAACATAGAAAGCAAAAAATGGTCCGAATGAGCGCAGCAAAACAGCGCTGATTTGAAAGTTTGAACATTTGTAACTCTAAAACTAAGCCAGATATACTAAAATTCATAATAAAAAATGTCTATTTTTGACCACATTTTGGATTTATTCCAAAAACAATATTTTTCAAGGTTAATTTACAAAAAATATAAAAGTATGATAGGTAAGTTTTGATTAAACATTAAAAATTACTCATTTTGAAAATGTTAAATTCTAACTAAGAAATACGCGAAACGGAAAACCCGAACTTCATGAAGTTTTCCCTCATAATCTCCAAACGAAGTTCGTCAGATATTTTTCTTTTTACATTCTTAATGTAAACGCAAACACACATTTTGAAAAAAAAACCCAAAAAATCGTGTGGGAGCCAAACTAGAACCGTTCCGAAATTAATTTTAATATAATAAAATATGACAGCTATACTTATAAGTGATACATTTTTATTTTCTAAATAGAAATTTTGTGGCCAAAAAGTTTTAAATACCTACACAGTGATATTAAATTTATTAAAAACAATAAGAATAATATTATACTTACGGTAACATATTGTGCGACGTACGAAGACTGAGACGATTCGACGAAATATCGTTAAAGAGCGTAAATACGTAATATTTAATATTTTTTTAAATGGTTTCGGATTGATCGTTTTACCACAGAGTAATGCGTTTTACGCATCGATGACTTTTCAAGTTGCAACATAGATTAGAATTTAGAATACAAGCTCACCGAAAGTGAAACGTAAAGTATACAACGTCCCAGAGACAACGTTGAGCTACGTATCGCCGTGATTGAACTACAAAATAACTGGAACGCTCTATATGCAGTGTTGCCCGAGTGAGCATGTTAAAAAGCGATGGCCATTCTTTAGGTATAATTTCCACCTCTGTTTAACGTTTAACATATGGCACCAATGTATAATTTTATTTTATATCGCTGTGTCTAGTAATAACTAATTGTATATACTACTTATGCGGGTTGAATCATAATTATTGGAATACGAGATATTTATTTATAATATTTATAATATAAATGTATATATTATATTATCCTACTATAATATTATAAATGTGAAAGTTTGTGAGGATATATGGATGTTTGTTGCTTTTTCAGATAAAAACTACTGGACCGATTGAGCTGAAACTACAGTATTATTGTTTATACATCAAAATAACATTCAAGCTTTTTTTTTTTATCACGAAATTCAATCCCTAAAAGATGGCAGATACGAAGATTTTGGTATTTCATGGTATATTGATTATTGATTTGGTTACCTTGGGAACAAAGTAAATATTACCTGGGATCTGGGATGGGGGATATAAAATTTTCTTACTTTATCTGAACTTTTTCATAATTCAGCACCCTAAAACCAAAATGTAAACAAATTTAAAAAATATTTAATTATTTACTTATTTATTCATTTTAAAAATGTAACATACATATATACAAAGAAATACAATGGTCTGAAATATCTAATTTGTTTTATAATACAACACGGGCTCATTTTAACCATAATTATTGAGCAATATTTTTTCTTGTCATAAATCTTGTATTGTCTTCTCAAATTCTTGACCAGTTAGTTTTGTCTGGACACTAACTTTAGTAAACGTCTTTTTTTACCATCTGTAGCATGTACATTAAATGTGTATTACTTTGAACAGGTTCTAATACATCATATACAAACATTTATCAGTAATATATATACTCTTAAAAGACATTTTGGTAAATATGTTAATAAGCATTATAAATAATATTACTTTAAATTTAAAAAATATGTTCTATTTAATATTAAAATTATATAAAATATGTAATTTTTTGTTTAATTTGGAATATCCTATTTAAATATTATTTTTTGTTTATTACTTGATCTAAATCACCCTCAGAATTATTATATAATTATAGTTGTATTTTAATTTATTAAATAGGTATTTAATTAAGCCAAAAAAAAGCTTATACAGGTACTATTTATTCAGACCTATCATTTACAGATGATTATAAAATAAAAGAGAATAACAATGAGAAAATGATTTGTAATATACCAATCTTTGAAGATATTGAAGAGATTAATAACAATATAAGTGAGTATAATTAATAGTTTTATTATTTATTGGTATAATATAATATGATCCTTTGCCATGTAATACCATTATAATTGTTTAGTTATTTAATTTACTTTTTGTTTTTTATTAATTTTTTTTTTTTTTAGTTTAAAGATCATTTATTATCTTTAAAAGATGATGTATTGACAGGTAAAATGTAAAATGAATTATATTTGTTGAGTTAAGTATAAATAATTTAATTTTTAATTTTATTGTTTCAGATATAATGTATATCCCGGTTGAGAATTTAGATGAAAATTCTAGAAATAATAAATTATTTAGTACTCTATCTAACAATTTAAAAAAATCTCCATATAGTAAATTGACAAATTCAAGAAAGTTAATTTTCCCAGATTTTCCTTTAAATAAGTTATTAGGTAATTAAATAAAATGTAGCATTTATTTATACTCAAAAAAATGTTTACCCAAAAAAATAATTGGGTTTTTATTATAATGCTAATGATGAAAGACCAGACATTTCAAAAAAAATCTACTACATTGAAAATGATTACTAAACATAGTAATGATGATTAGTGTTAGTATCTTTCTATGATTTTATATTATATAATTTACGGATCTATCTATACACCATCAATATTTGCTATCTAAATTATACCTAATACTATATTATATTAATTTACATCTGTTAGGTTTAATTTTAAAATATAATGTAATATAACAAATGTTGGTTTTGATTAAAAATTGTTGACTATCTAACGGCTGTATATAGATGACCTTATATTTACATAAGAAATTACTTTTTACTATTAAGTTTTTCCGATACAATTGCAAGTACCTTAACTAACAAAAGGAAAAACTTGATAATTACACTAATAACTTGACTATAAAATTAAATGTTATATCTAAAGTTTCAGAAACCGATGAAGAGCATCTTACTAAACCATCATATATAAATTCAACAGAAAATGATAAAGATTTTTAATTCATTATATTTCCATTTAAATAAAATCAATATGGGTTATTAAATTTTTATTTTTTATTTTGAGGATTTGAAAAACTTATGACAGACTATAATTTTAAATTATAGGAATGAAATTAATTGGAATAAAATTTGAGATAAAATCATTGGCTTACAGCATTGATACAATACAGTCTATGGTAGGTACAAAGACTTCATAATAAACAAGACATTCAGTAAATTCCAATTTTAACACATGGACGGAAACTTGTAATATAATTTTTACTGTTAAATTAGTAGTGCTATACCTACATCCAAAATCTATGGAAATTGTCAGTGTAGTCTGCCGTAATGTGGCAATCCACTGTCTTTTAGGATTTGATACCATTGAAAAGATTACTGCTTCTGCGGTATTGACATAATATTACATTATATGACTATATAGACTATGTACCAAAAATATATCAGAAACGATCCATAGAATTATGCAGCGAATATTTACCGATAATTTATTAAAAAATTATTCATATATTGGTTTTAATGGGAAACAAAATTTTTCAAAAACAGAAAGCCGTAAGTTATTTTGTGATAATTAAATATTATATAATTATGTATAATTTGTATACTTGGATATATATGATATTATATTATTTTCTAAATAGTTATGGTAATTAACTGATAGGAAAAAAAATGGATCAAAAGAATATTGATTTAAAGTCTATATTTTGCAAATTATGATTTTACTTTTTTCATAAACATATGCCGTATTATTTATTTTAAGGTATAATAAGTTGAATCATCTCAACACATTGACGGACACTTGTAATATAATTTTTACTGTTATATTAGTAATGCTATACCTGCATCCAAAATCTATGCAATTCGTCATTGTGGACTGCCGTAATGTGGCAGTCCAATTTCTTCTATGATTTAATACCATTGAAAAGATCAATGCTTCAGTAGTATTGACTGAATATGATATTTTGAATATTACTGCTACAGCAGTAATATACATTAATGTGTTAAAATAATAGTATAATATAATGTTTAACGTACGTAATAACATTATTACATTTTTAAATAATTAGATGCAATTAGAGATATGAAAACATTTACAAATGTACCTGATGCAAAAATAAACGATGGGATAAAAAGTTGGCTGACTCAAGTTTATAATAGGCTTATAAAAAAAGGAAAAGCCAATTCAACATCTACTACACAGAATAATTATAATTAGGTATTATAATTTTTGACTTAGTGATATGTATTTTTTATTATTTTTATTATGACTAAAATAAAAATCTTGTTGATTTTTTATTAATATATTCAAAATAAAACAAAATTATTTTATAACTAGTATTTTTTTTTTACAAATTTGTATATGGTTACAAAAGAATAAAAATAGTTGATTAATTGTGTTATATTATACTTAAATTTTTATCCAACACATTCTGTTAAAACTGAACTCATAATAAACATAATTATAGCAGGTAAATATAATATTTTACGATGCGTATATAATGCATATGACAGCGGTCCCCAAATTGTACTCCGCAATGGTTTATCAAGGCCCCCGTTCGTGATATAACAAAAAATTTAAAAATTGTTCGTTATTAAAAATGAACATATATTTTATGAAGACTTGAATTCCATAATTCATCGATGTGTTTTGTGTAGTGATGGGTACTACCGATTGAAAACTATCGAACTACTCGATAGTTTCAAACTATCGGTAGTCAAAATCAGTCGGTGATACTACCGAATGAAAACTATCGACTAATTCATTCGATAGTTTTCAAAACAATTGATGGATAAAACTATCAATTCAATCGATAAATCATTCGGTTGTATTTTAAACTATCGATTGAAAATCGATAGTCGAAACTAGTCGGTTCCGACCATCACTAGTATTGTGTACTGCGTAAAATCCCGATAAGAAAATTGAATACCATTATTTAATTTTAGTATTTTAGATCATACGAAACGACGATAAATCGAAATCGCCCTCACGACTCTGTCGTTAATTCCAGTTCCTTTCATACTATTGTTTCACATTTATTTTGACTCCCGTATGTAAACAATTCGTAATTATTATGCTTCATAGAAGATAAATCACAGGCAGATAAAAATTAACGTTAAATATTTCTTGGGGGCTCCACGAGAAACTTCAACTTAAAAAGTTTGGAAACCGCTGGCATATGGTAATAAAACTATACATAGTTACTGCATTACATTATAATAATGTACCTATTTATTTCATGTGTTTTAAATAGTTCAATAATATTAGAACAATATAATATATAATATACTGTTACAATATTACTAAGAACAAATTACTAAAATGTTCATGGAAACAGATTTCTACAAAAATTCAAAGAACATATGTGTACAACATTTTTAATTTCATGTTCATACAACAACAATAGCAATGTTCTAAAAGGAAATTTCACTAGCGAGGTAATTTAAAGAGGTCATTTTTCGACTTTCTCAGGAGTTTTTCCAACAAATGTGAAAAACCGGGAAAAACGTAGGAAAACTGGGAAAATCAGTACAACATGAAACAAATATTATCAAAGAAAATATATAAAGCCTATTTAATTATTTTACTATAAAATGGCATATATATTGTTGACAAAGCATCACTATCAACTGAACTCCGCTCAGAATCGTGTTTTTTTATAAGCAATGACAGACCGTTGCTTACAGGTTTCTTACACTAAATTATCTATAAATAGTGGCTGCACCCGTTCCCATTATCCTAGGACGTGGTTTTTGATTTTTTTTTTAACAGTTTTCATAATATTACGGGAAAATGTACTCACGTGTATAAAAGAAACTTCGCTCCGAATCGGTTTTCGTTGGCAATGGTTTATTGTATAATATAAATTAAATTCCTATCTGAATCCCACCTTCCCGACTTCTCACCTAAAACAGTAGGTAACAACCTAATAGACACATAAAAAATAAGTTTTAAAACAATATACTTTAAAGGAACGGGTAATTCATTATTTTTAATTTGGTATGACTACCTAGCTATATTATAACACTATATAGTATACTATATCAACAATAACGATTATCCCGTTTGTCAATATTATAATTGTTATACTACCTAGTTTATCGTCGATTATCAACAATTAGTAATAATACCTATTTTAATAACATAATTGTTCGATAGACGTGGGTAATTGACGTAGAAAAAAAAAAAATATCGTTTCCATAATATTACGTAAGTGAATATATATCCTTGTTGAGCGTAGATATGTGTTGTAATGGTATAACTTTGCTGGTTGTGTATTAATAGTAGATACCGGAACTCGGCGTGTTCAGAGATGTGACCGATCAAAAATTTCGATGAACAAAATATAATGCCTATTATAATTGGGAATGATCCGAAAATATATAAAAATTAATGAAAAAAAAAAAAATAAAAATGACCTTAACAACTGAAAAAAATAAATATACAATATTACACAATGACTAATAAAATTCTTATAAAAAAAAATAAAAAAAAAATAAAAATAGATACAATTGATATACATTCATTATCTTTTGTCTGATTTGTCTGATTAACTTTATTATAATACATAGATATTATGCGAGTAGAAAAATAAAAACGATTACAATAATAATATTATTTTTCTTATCATAAACGTCATTGCGTCGAACAAAACGTAATGATGATAATAACAATTTTTTGTGCATCACGGAAATATTGACGACGGTTTAATATTGTCTGGCAATAATGCTCCGTACTTCAATATTGACCGTAACGTGTTATAATATTTTGGCCCAAATATAAATACCAAATATTACAACTGTATTGTATTTGACGATATTTAGCGTGCACCGCTACAACTACATAAAATTACCGCGAGAGCGCAGCACCACATATAAATAACAAACATTATAATAAAATAAGTGTCAGGAATTATGTAATAATATTTCATTATTATGCTCTAATACTTCAAATACCTTACGTATTCAAATATGTATAAAATATGCAAATATATACACTGAAAATATAAAAAAAATATAACATTACCTACTCTATTGGATGGCTTTAGTTTTTTTTTTCTTGTGGCCTCAAAATCAATATTATGATGATTTTGCTTAATAGCAAGTGGAAACAAGTGACAATTATGACTTTTCTTTTTAATAATTATAATATTATCGAATAATAAAATAACAATTATAAATAATAAATCAAAAACTATTAATCTAATAACAGTTGAAAAAGATCCGACCGTTCCAATAGTGTATGGAAAATAAAATTTTGCCCATCAATTTATTATAGGCTCAGATTTAACAAAACGAACGCGTTTATTTTTAATAAAATACATTTTTGTCTAATTTTTTTTTATGGGTATTATAATGATAACAGGCATTTTTTTTTTTAAATGCGTTTTAGTCTATTCTTTTAGAGCATTTTTTAATCCCGGGCCCAAAATATAATATTATGTGCCCGCAAATTTGGTGGTCCCGTTATATCGGCTGGAAATCGAAACACGAACACAAAAAAGTTGTATTCATCCGGTTGAAACAAACGCCATAAAATATGCATTGATATAGGCACCGAGGACAGTTTAAATGCACCTACCCAGGTGACATCGAAAATGACCACATTGATACAATTAATTTTTATTTACACTCCCATTTCATTTTATAATGCGTTAAAAAATTTTACCATTTCTTGGACTATCCATGTCTAATTAATCAATGCCTATAATATGTTTAAGATTCCGAGCGTGGCGAGGGAGCTAGTGGTTTTACAATGCTGTTTATTTCTTTGTTCCTTTTTTTAATCAGAGGACACGTTTATTTCCTAGTAAACTTATTCCGATGTTTACATGTAGCAACTTTTTTGAAATATCAATATGTCTAAATTGTACTTTAGAGAGGTTATTTTTTCAATAAAAGCACTTAAGTGGGAAAAAAACGTAGGAAAACGTACAATTTCACGATTTAATTATTTTTTTTAAAAAATATGGACGACGTTTTCAACCAGAAAAAATGATTTAATCGAAATACCACATAATATCTTTTTTGTTGCTTTTTCGATTTCTTTTCTTACGGTATCATCGCCAAACTTTTGAGCTTCTAAGGAGTTTTTAATCTTTGAGAGTTTTTATTGCTGTAATTCGGTTTTAAATACACGTAGAAACTTGAAAGTTGGTAATAACACTTATATTGGACTTACCTAGACGTGGTAAAATTTTCAAAATTGGACGACTTTTTTTTCTTTTTCAAATTTGTTTACAATGGTACTTTATTTTTTTTCTTTATACTGTAGACTACTTTTATCCTGGAAAAATTGATCCGATGTATAAGTATGGCATTTTTTCTGAAAGTAAATTTTATTTACTTAGTAAATACATAGGTCATTTTTTGATTTTTGGAATGGTATTCAAAATGAAAACGATTAACTGGGAATAAAATATGAATTTTTCACGATTTCTTTATTCCAAATAAGTATATACAACGTTTTCTAGCACAAATATGACTCCAATTGAAAAACGACAAGAGACCATAGTTTTATTGATTTTTTTTTTTTTAATAAGCGTTTTGAATTCAAATTTTAACGAAAATCGCAAAAAAAAAAAAATCACGGCACTTCAAATAATGTATTATCGAACTGCACTCGGTATTGTTTTTCGTCAGCAATGGTTTATAGTTGCTTACAGTTATAAATGAAATAACCTTATGTATCCTACCTTCCCAATTTCCACCTAAAACAGTAGCCGCACTCGTCTCCAGTTTTAGCTTTTTTTTTTTTTAAACATTGTTTACCATGTTATAAGATATTTATTATTTACTATGATAATATTATGTGCACTCAATAGTGGCGCAACAAGAAATGGGCTTTAGGTGTCTGGACAATCCCTTCGTCCGTGTTTAAGTAAAATAAATTTATTAAAAATGTGTTTAAAAAGACAAAAACACGTGTTTTTTTTTTTTTTTTAATTATGTAGACATGTGACATCTCACTTCAAAACATTCTAGTCACGTCACTGGTACCCAGAATAATAAATATTTAAATGTCGAACTGAAGGTCAGCTCCGATCATGTACCCAAACGTCATAAACCATTATAACGTTTCGGTGTGCTTAGGTAAGTACATTTTAAACTTCGTTTATTAATTTATTATCATAGTGCAATACAGTGACAATAACAACGTGTTAGCAATAATATCGTGTTTATTATTATGA